GTAGTGGGAAGTTCATTAAAGACCAAAGAAGTACCTGCAACTCTTTTTTGCTCTTTCGAGAACTTCTTCTAACAGGGTAATAATCTGTCACCTTCCGATTCGGTTGCGTCTTCCCTTGAACTCTGAGAGAATACGGAGAAAGCCACATGAACGCTGCTGGATTTCCAGCAACTTTGCATTTCCAAGAGTGACCCTTGCTACTGCAAACGCCTGGAAGATTTCACTACATTCCACCACTACTTCAGTACTGGACGAAAGCCCTGAAATCCTTTCAATGGACCCGTCTGGGCTACTAAAACAACATCAGTTTTACCACTGTCATCATTCCTATGAGAAAATCAAAACTAAGGAAGAAGAAGAGATTGGATTTATGCCCCGCCCTTCACTACCCAAAGGTGTCTCAGAGCGGCTTACAAACTCCTTCCCCTTCCCCTCCCCACAACAGGCACCCTGGGAGGTAGCTAGGTGGGGCTGAGAGAGCTCTGACACAAAATGCTCTTTTTCAAGGACAGCTCTGACAGAACTATGGCTTGCCCAAGGTCATCCAGCAGGTACAAGTGGAGGAGTGGGGAATCAAACCCGGTTCTTTTGGATTAGAGTCCGTGCACTTAACCACGACACCAAACTGGCTATTGAATGTTAAACTGCAAAATCATCTGACGTTGCCGCTCACTCCGAAAGCTTCTCGTACAAGCACCAGGTGTAGGCAACCCAGGTGAACAATGGTGGGATCATGCAGACCAGGGGTCCCCGTTCCTTTTCCAGCTGCAGGCACCTTTGAAGTTCTGAAACAAAGTGCTGGGTGCAGCCACAAAGCCACAGGGAGCAGAGCCAGCTGCAAAATGGCTGCTGTGACTTACAGTCGGTCACACAGCCAAGATCTTTGTGTTGTGGAGGCAGCTGCTGCCAAAGCAACGTTTTCTGGGGGGGGGGACACACACAGCCATTCAAACCTCCAGTGGCCAATCAGAAGCCTTCCTGGGCAAAAGACCCATCTGGCCCCACCCACTTAAAAAAAAACACTTGGCGGGCTGCAGGAAAGGTGTCAAACGGTTGCCGTAACGCCTGTGGGCGCCACATTGGTGATCCCTATTGTAGATTATTTGTTCGCTCTCAGCCACGCAACGGTGGTGTAATACCTACTGATGGTCACTAGGTGTCACTTTATTGCCCCTTGGCATCAATCTCAGTGTTAATATACAGAACCTGTCCAATTCAACAGCTGAGCCTACTGACAAGGGTAGAACAACACCAGGTTAGTTTTGTGAAGAAAAGGAGGAAGAGAAGGAGATTGGATTTATACCCCACCCTTCACTACCCAAAGGAGTCTCAGAGTGGCTTACAGTCTTTCCCTTCCCCACCCCACAACAGATACCCTGTGAGGTAGGCAGGGCCGAGAGAGCTCTGAGAGAAACTGCTCTTTTTTCAAGAACAGCTCTTATCAGAACTACGGCTTGCCCAAGGTCATCCAGCCAGGTGAAAGTGGAGAAGTGGGGAATCAAACCCAGTTCTCCCAGATTAGAGTCCGCGCACTTAACCACTACACCAAACTGGCTCTCAAAACCAGTTGCTCCTTTAGTCATGATTTATGGCAGGGCACGAATAAACCACATCCAATTTAGCTGGATCATGCTAGATGCATCGGAAAGAGTTAATTCCACAGGGCAACAGCTCCGAAGTACATGGATGTAACTTATGAATTACTGAAGCTGTCTATACCATATCTGACCACCGCTCTATATAGGTCAACGTAGTCTGGTTTGAGCTGAAACAGTTCTCCAAGGTCTCAGGCAGAAAATCCTCCTGATTTTATTTATTTATTCTATTTTTTAAATTTTATTTATTTTGACTTATATCACGCCCTCCCTGCAAAGCAGTCTCAGGGCAGCTCACAAAACTGTATAAAACACTAAAACAAGAAGATTAATAAAATCACAAGAGTGCAATCCTAAATATAACCTCTCCTTATATATAAAAGAGTTTTTGTGTGAGACTCTTCCACATGCCTCCCCAGGCTTTGGGTCCCTGATCTGTCGCTCAGGAAGGGGCCAATCCCCTGGCCACATTGCCTCCCTCTGTTGCCTCCAGAACCCACAGACCCGCCGGACGGCGTCTTGCCCTCAGTCTCCAGCGAGCCACCGAGTGGAATGAATGCTCCGGCGGCTGGATGCCTCTGAGGCCCACCACCTCACTGTCCAACCTGCGCCTGCGCAGGGCCTACTGGCCCACGGAGCACTCCAGCCCACTCATGCAGCTGGGAAATACAGCAGCCAGCTGGTGGCCCACGCAGTGATGCCGGCACGGTAGGGGTAGTGGAGAGAGGGAGGGCGGAGCCGCCTTCCGGCAGCCCCGCAAAACTTTGCTCCGCAGCCCCACGATTCCCAGCACCCCATTCGCCTCTGGGGCGCAGCACGACCAAGCTCCACACGGAGCTCCACTTGCCAGACTCAGCAGTTGCTCCGCTCCGCTCCGGGGTTCGCCTCTGAGCAGGACGGCATCCGTGGGGTCAGAGCCACGTCCCCTGGCTGCCCTCTACTCTCCACCGCCAATAAGCCTTGCACGCCACGCGCAGCCCCCGCTGCGCTTTCTCTCTGGAGCCACTGAGGTGAGACCACCATGGGTGCAGCGGCAGCGCCAACACCTCCCCGGAGGAAAGGCGGCCAGGGAGGCGCTGGCGAAAGCCGCGGGGCAGGGAGACACCAGCCACCGAGGACACTGACGTTGACTTCCACAGGCTCCAAGGTGTCGGCCCTCGCACCGGGGTCTTGCTAGCACCCAGTGCATAGACTTTGCAATGGGCCTTGTGGCTAGTAAGTTATAAAGTGCTAGTACAACTAATCTAACGATGGCCGACGTTTGCAGCAATCACAGTATACAGTCAGCATAGTCTGGGTTGTGCTGTTGGTGGTATAATAATATTAATATTGATGTTACTATTGATGTTGGTTTTGGGGCCAGGGCCTCGCTCTAAGTAGTCTAATCAAAGGCCTGGTGGAAGAGCTCTGTCTTGCAGGCCCTGTGGAACTGTAAAAGGTCCCGCAGGGCCCTGATGTCCTCTTGGAGGTTATTCCATCAGTGTGGAGCCGCCACAGAGAAGGCCCTGGCCCTCGTCACAGCCAGCCTGGCTTCCTTGGGACCCGGAAGGGCCAGATGGTTTTGGGACCCTGATCGTAGTGCTCTCTGGGGAACGTGTGGGGAAAGGCGGTCCCTTAGGTATGTAGGCCCCTGACCACGTAGGACTTTGAAGGTAAGAACCAGCACCTTCAACTGAATTCAGTATGCTATAGGCAGCCAGTGCAGTGTCTTTTAGCGTAGGCTGGATGTGCTCCTGCATAGGGAGACCCAACAACAGCCTGGCTGCCACATTCTGCACTAACTGCAGCTTCTGGATTTGGGACAAGGGCAGCCCCATGTAGAGAGCGTTATAGTAATCCATTGCCTGTTCCCTGAGATTCTTCATCTGGCGATGCCAGGGATCGAACCTGGGACTTTCTGCATGCAAAGCACAACCTCTACCGTGGAGCCACGGACTCCCACCCACCCCTCTAAAGCCCCGCAGACTCTTACTTTCTCTTAGGACCCGGTTTCATTTTTGTTCCCTTCTTCAGTGTTGGTTTTGCGTTCACTGCAACGGCAGCCTCGGCGGGGGGGAGTTTCCGAGTTTCCGTGGCTTCTTGCTTCGGGTTCGAAAAGGACCCTGGAGAGTCGCCCCCACTTTCTTTGTCATTCTGGCCTTCAGCTTTCACTGCCCCTTCTACGGCATTGCCAATATTGATTCTGTCTGCAAATAATGAAGGGGGGGAAAAAAAAAGAGGGGGGGGGGGGGATTAAGGCCAATTGGCATGAAGGACCTCACGTTTCCTTTGCATCCTTCCAAGATGCTTCCTGAGTAGAAAACCGCTGTTGCCCAGTGTCACCAAGAGGCCAGACACACAGGAGACTTGGCTGCTCCCAAGAGGTGGTCATGAGCCCACCCGCCTGTAGTTCGGCAGTTTGAGACCCGAGTGTGCCGCATGACGGAGTGAGCTCCCGTCTCTAGTTCCAGCTCCTGCCAACCTAGCAGTTCGAAAGCAAGAAACTGCAAGGAGATAAATCGGTACCGCTTCGGTGGGAAGCGTGCGCCTCGGCGTTTAGTCATGCCAGCCACATGACCACAGAAACGTCTTCGGACAGCGCTGGCTCTTTGGCTTGGAAACGGAGATGAGCACTGGAACCCTAGAGTCGGATTCGACTGGCTATCAAGCAAGGGAAACCTTTACCTTTACTAAGAACACTCACACTATAATTTTTATTTCATCTTCACATTTGTTGGAAGGATTTCTAAACGAACAGAAGACTGCATGAGACCTCGGTGCCTGGAGTGCAGCACTGTAGACTGGGGGTTGGGGGGAGGGTGCAAGGAGAAACCACACAAGTTAGCTGGCCTGATTCCCTATACTTTCAGATCTACTCTAGAGGCAAGGCAGATAGCAACGAGAGGTAAGGCCTACCTGGTGGTCATCCCAAGTTATGAAACATTCACCCGAGGGATATCTGGCCAGGACTTACTTTGACCGTCCTTACATACCAGGTGAAGACAAATTTATTCCCCCCCCCCCCAGCTTTTTTCAAAAGGTCTATTTCTCATACCTTATCATTGCTGAGCGGTCGGGTTAGAACGGATAAAAGGAAGTACTTCTTCACCCAAAGAGTGATTAACAGATGGAATTCACTGCCACAGGAAGTGGTGGCGGCTACAAGCATGGACGGCTTCAAGAGGGAATTAGATAAGCATATGGAGCAGAGGTCCATCAGTGGCTATTAGCCACAAGGTATAGATAGGGACTCTGGGGCAAGGGATGCTCTGTCTTCTTGGTGCTTGGGGGGGGGGCAATAGTGGGAGGGATTCTAGTGCCTTGGCCCCACTGCTGGACCTCCTGATGGCACCTGGTATTTTTGGCCACTGTGTTGACAAGAGTGTTGGATTGGATGGGCCATTGGCCTGATCCAACATTGGCGTCTCTTATGTTCTTATTGTCTTAATATCATTTTTACCCTTTTATTATTTTATTTGACGGTGTGTGTTTTTTTTAAAATCACTTTTTAAAAGCTACCCTGGAAGCTGAGGCTGAAAGACAGAATAGAACTGTCTTTAATATCCCTTTTGCTGGTCTATAGTTTTACTTGATTTTTTAAATTAATTTTTTTTCTTTTAGCCACCTTGGGAGCTTTGGCGGAAAGACAGAACTCAGGAATTAATCAAAGGTCATCCCTGCCCACAGAAAAGTAGCATCTTAAAGGGCTGGAATACCAGCCTTACTCCGCCCCCTCCTCATTTTCAATATACACCTCTGCCCCCAACCCCTCAAAATTCTACAGTGGTACAAATCAGGAATAGTTATATTAGTTGATGCATGAAACAGACGTCGTTGCCTTATTTGGAGTTAGACCACGAGTCCCTTCTATTCTATTTGGCAGCAGCTCTGCAACAACTCGGGCAGAGGAGGACTTAATAAGAACATAAGAGAGAAGCCATTGTTGAATCAGGCCAAAGGCCCATCCAGTCCAACACTCTGTCACAAGTGGCCAAAAACACCAGGTGCCCTCAGGAGGTCCAGCAGCGGGGCCAGGACACTAGGAGCCCTCCCACTGTTGCTCCCCCCAAGCACCAAGAAGACAGAGCATCTCTTGCCCCAGAGTCGCTATCTATACCTTGTGTATAAGAGCCACTGATGGACCTCTGCTCCATATGCTTATCTAATTCCCCCTTGAAGCCGCCCATGCTTGTAGCCACCACCACCTCCTGGGGCAGTGAATTCCAGGTGTTCATCACTCTTTGGGTGAAGAAGGACTTCCTTTTATCCGTTCTAACCCGACTGCTCAGCAATTTCATGGAGTGCCCACTTGAGTTCTTGTATTGTGAGAAAGGGAAAAAGAAGAAGAAGAAGAGAAGAGATTGGATTTATACCCCGCCCTTCACTTGGAGTCTCAGAGCGGCTTACAAACTCCTTTCCCCTCCCCTCCCCACAACAGACACCCTGTGAGGTGGGTGGGGCTGAGAGAACTCTGACACAAACTGCTCTTTCTCAAGAACAGCTGTGCCAGAGCTTGTGACTGACCCAAGGTCACATCAGCAGGTGCAAGCAGAGGAGTGGGGAATCAAACCCGGTTCTCCCAGATTAGAGTCCGCACACTTCACCACTACACCAAACTGGCTCTCTTTCTCGACCTCCTCTATCCTACGCATAATCTTATAAACCTCGATCATGTCACCCCTCAGCCGTCGTTTCTCCAAGCTAAAGAGCCCAAGCACTTTAACCTTTCTTCATAGGGAAAGTGTTCTCCTGGCACCTGTTACCTGAAAACCTTCCCCTGGAATTCAAACCTGGGACCTTCTGCGTAGAAAGCAGGTGCTCTGATACCAAGACTCAGCCCCAGCCCACCATCTGTCTGTCATCAGCATTCCTCTCCCATCCTCAGGGAAGCAGACAAAACAATGCACCATCCTCAAACCATCCAAAGTGGGGCACAAATTTTCCCAGAAGGAAGGGAGGCAGTTCTGGGGACAAGCAGCTCCTCACCACTGGGACAGTTTTCCTTCCCGAGCTGCTGCTCCTCCTCTGCCAGGAGGGGCACTCCCTGAGAACATGGCACGGCCTCCTGGCTTTGCCGGAGAAATAACTCCCCCCACCCTACCCCTTGCTAAGGGAAACGGATTCTTACCCTCTCCTTTCCTGCAGCCTTCGTTCACAGTTTTGCCCGGGCATTTTGCCTCGTGATGCGCGGTGGAGTTTTCTTCCTGGAGCGGCGGTCGAATCACGGGAGACTTGTTCGGACTCATGTAGGCGTAGATTTTGGATTGACAAGAAAAGATGTTCTCCTAAATCGAGGGAGACACGAAATCCGGTGGAGAATCCCAGCATTTATTGTCATTCTTGTGCTTTTTAAAATGTTTTATTTATATTGTCAGCGATGCTCCTTCTGAGCTGTGGAGTCTTGTGAGCGAGCGATTTGGCTACTGCATACATGAGTTTGCTCTGGAGCCCTCCTTCCCGAGCTCAGACAAAAATCTGTGAGCCGGAGGTTACAAAACTGTGAGCTAGCTCACACTCACTCAGCTGAAGGGGGAACACTGATCTTAAGCCCCCTTGAGTGCCGCAAAGGAGTTTTAAATAAATACAGTGACTGTCGCCAACATCAGAGGGTCGTTTCCAAGACCCACAGATTTCGCGTACGGAGCCAGATATGACTCAGCAACCCACCAAAAATTCTTATTGCTGACATGGTGCTTTTTGCTCAAGGTATGCTTTTCAAAAAGACGACTACCAAAGGTGCAAACGTTATGGCTGCTAAAAATGAAAACAACCTATTCAGGCGATCTGCAATCAACAAACCATTTATGCTGGGGGGGGGGTGTTCTGCCACCTTTTTGAGCCTGCGGGCACCTTTGCAATTCTGAGACAGCACGGTGGGCATAGATGCACAACGGCTGCTGCAGGAGGCAGAGCCAGCCACGAAAGGACTGCCGCAGCTTACCTTCAGTTGCACGGTGACGATGTTTGTGCTGGGGCGGCAGCTGCTGCCAAAGCAGTGCTGTACCGCCAGTCAAATCTCAAGTGGCCAATCAGAACCCTTGCTGGGCAAAAGCCCCACCTGGCCCCACCCACACTTGGCAGGCGTCAGAAAAGGGGCCGGCAGGTACGTTGGCACCTGCGGGTACCACGCTGGAGACCCCCCTGATTTATGTATTATAAGATTCCTAGGAGATTGTCGGATCAAGAGCTTCAAAGCAACAAACCCCCTAGAGAGCTGGGTCTATAACGTGAGTCCAGCCTGCGTGTCACTATGAATTGTGGGGCTCTGAATGGGCATTAAAAAGAAGAACTACTTTTTCAAGAGCAAATAGTACCTTACCGCACCAGCCCTACATCCAGATTCTTCGGCCCAAGCAAAACGATGTGAAAACTTTGTTTCACACCCAGCGGGGAGAAAGGGCTCATCCTTGTTATTGTGAGAGCAAAAAGACATACGGGAGGGGGAACGAGGGTTTCCAGATCCAGGTTGGGAAACTCCTGGAGATTTGGGGTGGCGTGTGGGGAGGGCGGGGGGGATCCCAGTGGAGCCCAGTGCCACAGAGTCCACGCCCCAAAGCATCCATTCTCTCCAGCAGAACTGATCGCTGTAACCCTGGAGAGCAGCTGTAATTCTGGGGGGTCCCGAGGTCCCACCTGGAAGCTGGCATCCCTAGTGGGTACTGTGGTCAGACAGAAGAAGGTGTGGAAATTTTATTTTAAGGCACTCTGCGGTGGATCCAAGGGCTGCGGCTGGAAGGAAATGGCCTGGTTGAGGCCGGGCAGCGAGGACCCGGCCGAGTGGGGATTTCAGCCTGCGTCTCTGACGCAGGCTGAAATCCCCACTCAGCCAGGTCCTCGCTGCCCGGCCTCATCCAGGCCATTTCCTTCCAGCCGCAGCTTTCCATCTGTGAAATGGGAATAACTACCCCTTCGGAGTGGCCGCTGGGAAGAAAAATATGACCGAGCCCAGAAGAGCACCCTGTCTAGTGAAAGGGCACACACAGGAACGCCCGCCCACCGTTCTGACCCGCCCCTCCAAGCAACCCGGTTTCAGCCAAACCCCACTGAAAGGAGTGTTATGGCTTGCCGCCTCCGAGTCAGTGGCGTCCCGGAGGGCAGGAAAAGCTGGTCACCTGGGCGACAGGAGGGGCAAAACACAGCTGCGCAAAGGACAGCTGTGATGCAATCCTTAAGGAGCAGGACCTCTACTGAAAGCATTCAATCATTAAGTGTGTTATAAGTTAATAAAATTAGAATTCTGTACATTAAAAAAAAAAGTGTTCCTGAAGCATTTCAGGTCCAAGGACCCATTCGTTTTTCGGAGAAACCTGGACCACTGTACAGCCACCCCCCCCCCTTCTATTATTTTTTTTAAAAAAGACAGAAAGAAAGGGGGGGGGAGAAGTGGGTGTGTCCGGCACTGGAGATCTGGCTTCCCCTGGCTTTGGCTCCATCCAGAAACGGGGCGGTCGCTGGAAATTCCGGGGGAGAGAAGAGGAGGGGGCCACGGGGAAGGCTGGAGAGGGAAAATGCCACCTCTCCCGGAACGGCAGAAGTGGGAAGGCGGCGGGATCTGTGCCAGGAAAGCGGCAGCCGCCGGGGCGGGCCTCTCCGGGGCCTGGAGGCACTCAAGGCCGGCCGTCTCTGCCCGCTCCGCGGAGGGCTAGGGCCGTGCGCCCTGCTTTGGATGGCGCCGCGCCCAGAGCGCACGCTGGAGACGCAGCGGGGCGAGCGCTGGGCAGCTCTGGAGGGAGGGAGGGAAGGAGGGAGGGTTCCGGCGATCCAGCTTACCCCGTTGATCCTGGGCCGGCCGGCGGGTCGCTTCTCGGCGCTCTCGGGTGCGGCGGCGGCGCCCTCCTCCGCCTGGCCGCCAGCTCTGCCCGCCTTGGGCTTGCTGTTGGACATCTTGTGCCTCCTGCCTGCGGGAGAGCCAAGCGGGCGGCCTCTGAGGCCCCGGGGGAGCCGCGGCCAGCCCAGCCCCGCCAGCCAGCCAGCCGGCCGCCAGGAAGGCGGAGCGGAGCGTCCCCGGAGAAGGCGGCCGCTGCCCCCTAGAGGAGAAGGCGGCCGGCCGGCCCCGGAAGAGCTGCCTGCCCAGAGCTTGCCAGCAGCCCCGGCCAATCAACCGCCCACCCGCCTGCCTGCCTCTGGGCTCCCAGCGCATTTCGACCTGCGAGGAGCTCGGGCCAGGTATCCTGGTTCGCTCCCGCCGCACAACAACCCTGAGGGGTAGGTCGGGCGGAGAGAACGACAGGCCCACAGTCAGCCGGGGAGCCTGGTGGCCAAGGAGGCGCTTCTGGTGCCTGGCCCTACCAGGGCACCACGCTAGCTCTCGAATGCCAGGGCTCTCTCGGGATCATGTAAGACCAGGCGGTGGAAGAAGCGCCTCTGAGCAGGTGCAGAGTGCATTTGCTTTACCGCCGAGCCGCTATACAAAGAGTGCCCCCCCCTTCAAAAAAAAGTTAGGGTTAGAGTAGAGAAAGGAGCTTCCAGATTGGAGGACCTCTGGCACCACTGCAAACGTTTCCCTAATACACATTTCTTCTCATCGCTCAGAATTCATACACGTCACTCCACAACTCATCAGTCAGTTCATTTTCTTTTTAAAGAGGAACTGGAGCATCAAGTTGCTCCTGTCAGGTGATGAGGAAAAGGCAGTCTGTACATGCTCAGAGGTACTACCGCCACTCAGCTGTGAAATTCTCTTATACCTCGGTATCTTCCCCACTCTGTGTACCTTCCCATGAAGGCCTCCGAAGTTACTCTGCTTTCCTCTCTAAAATTTACACCTTCTTGCAACACACATACAGGTATTACAAAGCAGAAGCAGAATAAATTCTGAATATAAATCTAAGTGGATTTTGAACAAAAAGTAGCTTATATTTTTGTTGTGAGATAATAGACTTTCCTTTAAACGGTATATTAAAAATGATAGCTAGCAATGCATGTAGTAATGATGAAATATCTAACAGAACATGTAGTAATGATGAAATTAATAATCTAGTTGCAAAGTAGATCAGCTACAAAATCTGAGGTGTTTGAAGTATTGCATTCTATAGAAAATGTAATAAAAATTATAATGAAGGGGATATTGGGGAGGAATATTTTTTGTCCTACATACCTTGCAATGTATAACAACCTTTGATATATATAATTGGTTATATAATGCTTCTTGTGTATCCCTTTCATAACTTATCTTGTTTCTTTAAAATATATATTCGTATGTAAAATTTACACCTTGTTACTTTCTTTTAAAAAAAATAATTTACACCTTCTTACGATACAGCTCTAGTATCTATAATAGGCTGTTATGTATTCGGACTGACTCATCCCTGATTGAATCACCCTAGGGGGACTGGCCCATTTTTCCAGGATAGAGATATGTCTATAGGGAAAGCACGGCTGATCAAATTGCTGAGAGCCAGTTTGGGGTCGTGGTTAAGTGTGCGGACTCTAATCTGGGAGAACCGGCTTTGATTCCCCACTCCGCCACATGCAGCTGCTGGTGTGACCTTGGGTCAGTCACAAGTTCTCTCAGCCCCACCTACCTCACAGGGTGTCTGTCGTGGGGAGGGGAAGGAGACTGTAAGCCGCTCGGAGACTCCTTTGGGTAGTGAAGGGCAAGGGGTCTAAATCCAGCCTCTTCTTTTTTGTTACACAGCATCTCTGCCAAGAAGTGGTGATTCCCTTCACACACATACACCCTTCCAAGGAGGTTCCAGGATTCCTTCGTCTCCTCTACCAGGTCTTCATACCCCAAACTCTTATCTGTGTCCCAAAAGTATCTCGCACAGCCAGGGTATTGTCAGGTCAGTGTGTCAGACTAGGAACCAGGTTCAAATCTGCCTTGAGGCTTTTTGGGTGCCTTTGGGCCAGTGCCTCTTCTTTACAGCCTAACCTACCTCACAGAGCTCTTGTTACTACAACAACATGGAGAGGAGAACGACTTATATATCCCTGTGCTCCACAGAGAGAAGAATGTGTGTGTTTTGCCGTCAAGTCGCAGCTGACGTACAGCGACCCTGTGGGGTTTCCAAGGCAAGAGTCATTCAGAGGTGGGTTTGCCCTTGCCTGCCTCTGCGTGGCGACCCTGGACTTCCTTGGTGGTCTCCTATCCGAGTACTAACCAGAACTGACCCTGTTTATCTTCTGAGATCTGATAAGATTGGGCTAGACTGGGGTGTCCAAGTCAGAACTAGATAGATAGATTAGACCAGGGGTCATTTCCTGCAGGAGCGCACAGGAGCGGAGCTCCGGCAGTAAAGAGCCCAGGGGGCGGGCACATGCAACAAGCCCCGCCCCCTGCCCCCAGCAGCCCTCAGTCAGAGCAAGAAGCAGCCAGGTAAGTTGCAGAGCCCCCCCCCCGGGCCCCCCGGTCCAAAACAGTCCAGTGGCACCTTTAAGACCAAGTCTTATTCAGGTACAAGCTCTCCCTCCTCTGCCAGGACAGATCTGCACGTTCCCCCCCCCCCAATAGCTAGCACGTCACTAGTCCCGTGCTACCGT